CTACGCTTCTAGTCTTGTTGCTGAGTCTGAGTCTGTCTGTCCTCCGTCCGTCGGGGGTGGGTGTGCTCTTAGCACGGACGTCCTTGAGGACAGGCAGGAGGACCTTGAGTGTCTTGCGGCCGCTGCGCCTCATCTCGTGGCCATGCTGCTTGCCCCTGAGGGAGACCCGGATGCACCAGACATCCCCACCCCGCGCTCTTACGCTGAGGCGATCGCGGGTGAGTACTCCTCTCAGTGGCAGACAGCCATGGACGCAGAGATGGCATCCTGGAAGTCCACAGGCACGTACGTCAACGACGTTCCCCCTCCTGGGGCGAACATCGTCAGTGGCATGTGGATCTTCAGGGTGAAGCGGCCGCCAGGTTCTCCGCCTGTCTTCAAGGCTCGTTACGTTGCTCGAGGTTTCAGTCAGCGAGAGGGAGTTGACTTCTTCCAGACTTTCTCCCCCACCCTGAAGATGACCACTCTTCGGGTGTTGCTGCACGTTGCCGCTCAGCGTGACTACGAGCTTCACTCTCTTGACTTCAGCACAGCTTTCTTACAGGGCAGCCTGCATGAGGAGATCTGGCTGCGCCGCCCACCCGGCTTCACTGGGTCATTCCCTCCTGGTACCCAGTGGAGCCTCCGGCGGCCGGTCTACGGTCTCCGCCAGGCGCCACGTGAGTGGCACGACACACTGAGGACGACACTTGCGGCTCTTGGGTTTGCTCCTTCGACTGCTGACCCGTCGCTGTTTCTGCACACCGACACTTCGCTGCCGCCGTTCTACATCCTCGTGTACGTCGACGACTTGGTCTTTGCCACTGCTGACACTGAGGCTCTCGCCCTGGTGAAGTCGGAGTTGCAGAAGAGACACACGTGCACAGACTTGGGTGAGCTGCGCAGCTACCTTGGCTTGCAGATCACCCGGGACAGAGCACGCCGCACCATCACACTGACTCAGTCACACATGGTGCAGCAGGTCCTTCAGCGCTTCGGCTTCACCTGGTCCTCAGCACAGCACATTCCTCTGGCTACAGATCACTTGCTCTCAGCTCCACCTTCGGACGAGTCCGTAGAGCCGAGTGGTCCTTACCCAGAGCTAGTGGGCTGCCTCATGTACCTGATGACCTGCACTCGTCCTGACCTTGCGTACCCTCTTGGCCTTCTGGCTCGCTACGTGGCTCCTGGTCGGTACCGAAAGGTGCACATGCTGCTAAGAGGGTACTGCGCTACTTGTGCAGTACATCGGGCATGGGGCTCGTGCTTGGAGGGCGGAGTCCAGTTGTCCTTACTGGGCACTCAGACGCTTCTTGGGTTGACGACCAGGCTACACAGCGGTCGTCACAGGGTTACACGTTCAGCCTTGGCTCTGGCTCTGTTTCTTGGCGGTCTACACGCTCATCTTCTGTTCTCAGCTCCAGTTGTGAGGCTGAGATCTACGCCACTGCCATGGCTGCACAGGAGTTACGCTGGCTCACCTACCTGCTGACCGACCTGGGAGAGCGGCCTCGTTCTCCTCCAGTTCTGTACGTAGACAACAAGGCCGCCATTGCCTTGTGTCAGGAGCACAGACTGGAGCACAGAACGAAGCACATCGCTCTGCGTTACTTCCTCGCTCGAGAGTTACAGCAGCGGGGTCAGCTTCGCCTTGCTTACGTGGCCACTCGGGCCAACACTGCTGATATATTCACCAAGGCACTTCCGGCTGGTGACCATCAGCGCTTTTGTACTTTGTTGGGCCTTGTGCCTACGTTTCCACACTTGCTGTAGTCTCTACTTGTACTGTGATCTATATATATACCTGCATGCTTGCTCTTGCTAGCTTGAGATCACTGTGCTGTTCTTGTTGCTTGTATACCTCTGCATGTGGACTGGCCTTGTGGCCGTTTGCTTGTGCTCAGTGTGTGTGGTGACGTTGTGATCCACCCTGAGCTGTGTTTTGTTTCTTCTCTTGACTGGTCTTGTGACCGTTGCTTGCTCTGGGGGTGTCAAAATATATGCATATCATTATCTAGGCTATATTGGGGATAGCCTTAGGGGGTACAAAAACTTTCTCGATACCCTAGTCTTGTACCCAAACCTTCACCTAATCTACTCATTCTTGCCTTAGTTCTTAACATCAGGAAGCTAAGTTCAGTCTACAAACAGGGCTGACGTTTCAAATTAGGCCTCCCTGAATCCGGGAAAAAATTTCCCCCTGTATTATGGGTGCACATTTTTCAGAAAAACATCACCCTGATTGCTCAGTGTTGGGAAGTTATGTAGTCTGATTGCTCAGGGTTGAGAAGTCAGGATCAGGGTTAGTAACGCGCTGTGCATTATCGAAACTTGGCATGGTTCAGATATTTAGAAGATCTTGTGTGGATTTGATGACCAATCAAATTGGACGACCGTTCGTTCTTCAGATTTCTGGTTGCACACTGTATATGACTGGTGATTTAGACCCGAGTTGACTGGTCACATCACAACACCAGCGTCATACTGTAGCAAATTCGCGTTGACAAAGTGCATTCGCGCCGTACAGTACAGAGCAACAGATTCGCCCGATCACAGAGAAATGGCCCTGGCACAACAGCCGCTGTCAGAGCACAACCATTTCGACCAATCACAGCAACATATATCTGGCATTGCAGATTCGGCCGATCTCGATGGTGGGTGGGTGTATCTAGACGAAATTTCTGAGAAGTTTCGTTTCGATAAAGTGGGGGAAGGGGGATTCCGCACCTTGGGGGTGCTGCGATGCGATCAATCCGAAGGCGAGGTTATCGAGAGGAAATTTCGGAGAAACTTTCTCTCGATAATGTCTCATTCGCGGGGTCCACAGAACTCGTACTCTGTAATGACAGAGTCTGTAAGAAGACTACTCTGAACGTGTATACAAAATTTCAGGGCCTGCTAAAGCGTTAGTCTGAATGGATCAGTGTTCACAAGGCGTAAATTCTGAAATTGCAGGGACCACAAGGTGAGAAGTCTGAAATCACCCTGAAATCAGGGTAATTACCCTGATAAAATCAGCCCTGTCTACAAACAGGGCTAACTTTAGTAAAATGACCCGTCTGATGTCAAGACCGGGTCCTGGCTCCTTGTCTGATTGTCAGACGAAAACTGTAACCTTGTCTAGCTTTCCAGACGAATCCTAAATACTTGTCTGAGAAGATATAAAGCTAGCAAGCAATGTACTCTCAAATATGATTAAAACAACCAAGTAATAGCGATGAACAACCCTAATGGTCCAGTCAGTAGAATATGGAGCAGTGAAAACTGAGGTTGCCAGTTGAATCTTATAGTCTGCTTGTTTCGAGAGTTTTGCCTTCAGTCGAAAAATACTCGATATCTGCAATCTCAGACAAACTGTATAAGGCTGTCTGAGAAATCAGATGAATAGAAAAAGCTTCTCTAAAAAAATCAGACGAAATTAAACAGCATGTCTACGGCATCAGATGAACCAGTAAAAATGTGTTCAGAATCCAGAAATTCAGACCAAAAAATTCTGATAAAGTGAGCCCTGTCTACAAGTGGGAAGAGTAGCGGTGATTCGCAGAATTCATTATTACCTATTATATTTGTTGTATCTTGTTTTGCACCTTCTATTGTTATTGTTTTGACTTTGATCTGGTGTGACTAGGGGTTTCTGTGTGTGTGTATGTATGTGTGTGTGTGTATTCATCTATACTCATTCATTCATTGAATTAGCAATGCATGTCTGTGGGTCTTAAAAATTTGATAAGCCTATCATTTTCGAGAACGTTCTTTGCTCACTCAGTGAGTGTGTTCACTTGAACGGGATTTGATGGAACTGATCATTTTTTTAGGATACACAGATTGTGTTGTATTCATGTGATAGTTGTATGACTTAAATGCTAGGCTATTGACTTCCCCCCCATGCTAGGCAGGGGATGCGGTAGCCTAGTTGTTTAGGTCTTACAACTATCACGCATTTATATCATTTATTGGCATACATATTGCAGTAGCATGTATCATACTAATATGCATTCTACTATGCATCATATTCATGCATTATGCAATCATTATTTAAAATCATCATACTAATATACATATTACAGGATACACAGCCACTAAGTAGGCAAAAAAATTACCACATAGACGGAGCACGCAGCCACATGCATATCACAACAAGTATCGTAAGCAGGGCTCTGGCTAGGATTTTAGCCCGTCTGAACCTAAAGTAGTAAAAAAAAATTCGTCTGAACGAAATATGAGCTTCCTCGGGTGGTCTGAATTCTCAGACAAAACAATGGCCCTTGTCTGAATTTCCAGAAGAAATATATGCACTTCTATAAAAAATGCTTAATGTATTTATAGTCTCCGACAATTTCATGTCTCTTAAACACCAGGAATCGGTCTCTGCCCCCCGCGACAAACATTGAAATCGACTAAGGACTAAGCAACACCTGGCAACAAAGTCTGTAGAGTAAAAATTTAGGTGGACTGTAAAGCGAAAGTCCAGGTGTCAGGTGTTCGGATCTTGTCTGTTCCAGACAGAAATGTACTCGCTGTCTGAGTACTCAGACAAGATATAAGTCCTTGGTCTGTTTTTTCGGATGGGAAAAATGCTCTGTCTGTAAAATCATATGAGCACTATTAGTTGGTCTGAAAAATCATACGAACTTAAAAAATCGTGTCTGATTTTTAGACCATCAGACAATATTTGTCTGATAACCAGAGCCCTGATCGTAAGGTAGTTATTGAAGTAATTCTCATTGTGTGTGTGTGTGTGTGTGTGTGTGTGTGTGTGTGTGTGTGTGTGTGTGTGTGTGTGTATGTGTGTGTGTGTGTGTGTGTGTGTGTATGTGTGTGTGTGTGTGTGTGTGTATGTGTGTGTGTGTGTGTGTTTTTTTTTTAATTTAAAAAATATGAAAAAAAAAATGAACATAACGATTGTAATAGGTTGCTTCGCAACCCAAAAAAGTGAGGGGAACTGGTTACGCTACGAGCATGGCATGGAAGTTGGGCTGAAGCGAGTTGAAGTACCAGTACCAGAAAAAGCTTCACTGTAGTCACTGCAATAGCCAGGTAGGGGGGGATATTACGAGGGATGGGGAGGGGGAAAAAGGAAAAACGTCAAACTGATAGAGATGAGAAGCTCGGAGATAGGGGAGATAGGAAAGAGGGGGAAGAGGGAAGCAGGGGGGAAGAGAAAGGAGAATGAAAGAGGGTGAGAGAGAAAGAAGGAAATACCTTAGGAAGAGGGAGGATAGAGATGAGGGGAGATAGGGAAGAGGGGGAGAGGGAAAGGGGGGAATAGGAAGATGAAAAGAGGGAGAAGAGAGGGGAAAACGAGGGTTTAACAGGTGGGGAAACGAGGGGAAACAGAGGGGGAAATCCTGGTAAATGAGGGGAAGCAGCGGAGGGAAATGAGGGGAAGCAGCGGAGGGAAATGAGGGAAAGCAGCGGAGGGAAATGAGGGGAAGCAGCGGAGGGAAATGAGGGGAAGCAGCGGAGGGAAATGAGGGGAAGCAGCGGAGGGAAGTGAGGGAAAGCAGCGGAGGGAAATGAGGGGAAGCAGCGGAGGGAAATGAGGGGAAGCAGCGGAGGGAAGTGAGGGGAAGCAGCGGAGGGAAATGTGGGGAAGCAGCGGATGGAAATGAGGGGAAGCAGCGGAGGGAAATGAGGGGAAGCAGCGGAGGGAAATGAGGAGAAGCAGCAGAGGGAAGTGAGGGGAAGCAGCGGAGGGAAGTGAGGGGAAGCAGCGGAGGGAAGTGAGGGGAAGCAGCGGAGGGAAGTGAGGGGAAGCAGCGGAGGGAAGTGAGGGGAAGCAGGAGGGTACAAACAGGAAGATGGGGAGGAAAATGAAGTGAAGCAGGGAGGGTAAATGAGGGGAAGGAGGAGGGGAAACGAGGGAAACCAAAGGGGGGAGCGAGGGGAAGCAAAGGGGGGAACGAGGGGAAATAGAGGGGACAATGAGGCGAAGCAGGGGTGGATATGAGGGGAAGCAGGGGGGAAATGATGGCGCAGCAGCAGCTGACTCCCAGACGCAAGGGTGGGTTCAGAGGGAGCGGTAGCAGGGGCGGTGGAGGAGGAGAGAGGGACAATGCGCGTGCGATGCGTGAACGGGGAGAGGGAGCGGCAGCAGGGGCGGTGGAGGAGGAGAGAGGGACGATGCGCGTGCGATGCGTGAACGGGGAGAGGGAGCGGGAGGCAGGAGTCCTAGGGTAGGGGGCGTCGGAGGAATGGTCAAATTCTGATAGGAGCTGAGCCGTGGGCTTCAGAGGGGACGGAGAGAGGGCTGTCACTAGCCTGTGGGAGGGTGTAGGAGAGAGGGAGGGAGGAAGTGAGATGTTTTTTTAGGCGCCTCAAGAAGGGAGGAATGGTCGAATTCGGACAGGAGCTGGAAGGTGGGCTTCAGAGGGGACGGAGAGAGGGCTGTCACTAGCCTGTGGGAGGGTGTAGGAGGGAGGGAGGAAGGGGAACGTTTTATTAGGCGCCTCAAGAAGGGAGGAAGGATCGAATTTGGATAGGAGCTGGGCGGTAGGCTTCAGTAGGGAGGGAGAGAGGGCTGTCAGTAGCCTGTAGGAGGGTGTAGGAGGGCGGGAAGAAGGGCCATGACTTTTTATGCGCCTCGAGAAAGGAGGTAGGGTCGAATCCTGATGGGAGCTGAGCAGTGGGCTTCAGGGGGGATGGAGAGAGGGCTGTCACTAGCCTGAGGAAGCAGGGACGGCCGAGAGGGGGAAGCAGGGACGGGAAGGGGGGGGAGAAGAAATGCGGATGGGGGGAAGCAGGGCTTGGGATAAGAGGAAAGAATGCAGAGGATGGGGGGACGCAGGGAAGGGGGGAAGCAGGGCACGGGATCGGGGAAAGCAGGGAAGGGGATAGGGGGAAGGCGGGAAGGGGTATTAGTGGGGGGCAGCAGGGCGATTATTAGTGAGGGAAAACAGGAAGTAGGGTGACACGTGTGCGAGATGGGAAGGGAGGCGGGATGGAAGGCGAGGGCGACGAGCAGTGGATGGCAGGGCGACGGGGAAAGCGAGGGCGACGGGGAGAGAGGGAGACAGGGAAAGCGAGGGGACGAGCCGAAGGGAGGGCGACGAGAAGAACGGAGTGCGACGGAAAGAAGCGCGAGCGACGGGAAGGGAGGGCGACGGGAAGGGAGGTCGACGGGAAGGGAAGGCGACGGGAAGGGAGGGCGACGGGAAGGAAAGGCGTGGTATTGGGGGTGCGAGACCGTGGAGGCGAATGCGCAGGAAGAAGTGGGCGAGGCGGGTGTGCTAAGGGGTGCGATTCGCGCGCATTGTTTTACTCATGCGCGCTTTCCACTTATGCTCGATCCGCAACGGCGTCGGAGTATTCCGACATTACACTGGCGACGTGCAAATTATCCGGGTGGCCTACATGGGAGATTTTGGAGCTAGATGTGAGAGCTTTACACGAGGCAATGGGCAGAAATGACGCTGTGTTACTCTAAAACGGGAAGGAGCTGGTGTGGATGACGATGTGCTGGAGGGGAATGACTGCTCCTGAAAATGTCTGCTGTTTACGTCGTATGGGATTGTCGCAGGGGGTGTCAGAACTTGACAAACCTGTAAACCTGGTTTGGGTGTGCCAACAGGCTAGGGCAGTAGGTTTGGTATTGAGGGTAAAGTGTTTGGGTTTCGCCCAAATCACCCCTCCTCTCGTGCAAAAGTTCGCTGCTCGTGCACCAATCCCAGGTGCCATGTTAGGCCAGCTGGCTAAATCCGCTAAAGATTAGCGGGGTCGACTAAGTCGAGGATAAACGCGGCGGAAGACTTTGGCGAAAGAGAGTGTCGGCGAAATAGGCGAAGAAGTAACTAAGTAAAGAGTTGAATGAGAATTGATTGATATGAGGGAATACAAGCAAGGTTGATATACCATGCAAGAGCAATTGTGGGAAAGTGGGTTGTGGGACTAGGAACTAGAAGGCAAAGAAAGTAGAGTGCCACGTGGCACTAGGAAATATAGGAAGATCAGGATTAGGGTGAGTTGGAAAGTACTGTTCAAAGTGAACAGTAAATCGCCCCTTAACACTACCCCGCTCCCAAGGAGGCGACGTCCGCGGCGCCTGCAGACTGGAGGTACGCTTAGAGGCAAGCGTTGTCGGGAGACAGCGAGGACGAAGGAACCCAGCTGTCGTCTGCTGCGTCGTAACCATGCCAACGAACCAAGAAGTCGATGAAAGAGACACCCCCATGAAGACGGCGACAGTGCCTGAGGATGCGCTGGATCTGGTAGTCGAGCTCGTCGGTGTCAACAGCTACCGGCAGTGGAGTGCGATCACGGCCCGAGAAGGTGGCGTTGGGATCGGTGTAAGGACGAAGAAGCGACACGTGGAATGACGGGTGCATGCGGAAATGAGCGGGAAGGCGAAGGCGGTATGCGACTGGTCCTAGTGCACGCTCAATGACGAATGGACCAATGAAGCGAGAGGCGAAGCTTGCTATCCTGTGGCAGTCGGAGGTTGCGGCTATCAAGAAGAACACGGTCGCCGACTGCGAACGACACCTCATGACGACTGCGGTTGGTGGTGCGTGCCATGCGTGCATTTGCGAGCTCAAGGTGCTTCCTCACGTGATCGTGAATGAAGGTGAGATGCTGGTGGAAATTGTCCGCACGAGGGACTGTGGGTGTGAGATCGATACGAGTGGGGACATTAGGGTGCTGACCGTACAGTGCGAAGAACGGTGACATGCCTGCAGACGAGTGGTGCATGTTGTTGTAGGCGAACTCGGCCATGCGCAGCTTCTTGTCCCATGCGGCTGCGTTGTGCATCGTGATGCTGCGAAGAATCTGCTCCAAGGTCTGGTTCACACGCTCGGTCTGTCCGTCTGTCTCTGGATGGTACGCAGATGACATGGCTAAGCGAGTCCCAAACAGTGCGAAAAGCTGCTTCCAGAACTTCGAAGTGAAACGAGGGTCGCGGTCTGAGATGATGGAATCTGGAACCCCGTGCAGTCGGACTACGTTATCTACGAACAGCGTCGCGGCTTCTTCTGCTGTGACCTTGCCGTGGGTGGGGATGAAGTGCGCTGCTCGAGAATACTTATCCACTACTACGAAGATGGCGTCGTGACCCCTAACTGTGCGCGGTAATGCCATGATGAAATCCATTGTAACTACCTGCCAAGGGCGGTCGGGCGGTGGAATCGGCTGCAAGAGTCCTGCTTTGCGCTGGCGAGAGGACTTCGTACGCTGACACGTCTCGCACGAGCGAATGTAATCCTCTACGTCTGCTGCAAGCCCGGGCCAGTAGTACGTGCGACTAAGCGTCTTAGCCGTCTTATCTGCTCCGAAGTGACCTGCACTAACTACGTCGTGCGCCTCTGAGAGAAGGAGCTGTCGAAGAGGGCGGTAGGCTGGAACCCAAATCCGTGTGGTACCCTTCCGTATGTAGACACTACCCTGCACCTCTGCTCTTGCGGGCGGCTGCGGTGTGAAGTCGGGATCTACTGTGTAACCGTGCTTGAAGAGTGCTGTGAGAAGTGGGTGGCTGGCAGTGACTGTGAGACTAGCGAGCTGGCAACTAGGGCGAGTGGGCGGATCTGCTGGGTTGCGCACGCCTGGCTTGTACTCTATCCTGTAGTGAAAGCTCCCCTCCATGAACTCCATCCACCTAGCCTGGCGACGACTCAGCTGCGGTTGCGACTTGATGAAACGAAGCGAACAGTGGTCCGTGTGTATAACACTATCTGCCCCCTCTAAGTAGCATCTCTACACCTTATACGCATGGATGATCGCGAGCACTTCCTTGTCGTGAATCGGATAGTTCAGCTCCGCTCCTCTAAGCTTACGCGGCTCGTACGCGATCGGCAGCAACCCGCGTCCCTGGTCAAGAAGAAGAACCGCTACTATGGCCCGATCTGATGCGTTGGTCACTACAACGTACGGGCGAGTGGGATCTGGGTACGACAGTGTCGGTGAAGACGTGAGCGACTGGTTCATCTGCTCGAACGCCTGTTGTTGCGCTAGACCCCAATCGAAATCTACGCCCTTCCGAAGTAGGTCGGTGAGTGAACTAACGATCGATGCGTAACCCTGAACGGAACGACGATAGTAATTGGCGAATCCGAGAAAGCTCTGCAACTCCTTGACTGAGGTCGGTGCTACCCAATCCTGTACTGGCGCGATCTTCTTCGGGTCGGTCCTAATGCCACTAGCGGATACGACATGGCCTAGAAACTTGACCTCTGGAGAAAGAAATCGCATTTCGACTGCTTCGCGTACAACTGCTCCTTCCGCAAGACCTTGAAAACCTTCTGCAAGTACGATAAAGATTCTGGGCTTTGAGGGCAGCCGCACCACGGCTAGCACGAGGTCCTCCCGTGCTTGCATGTGCGGGTCCTGGACGCCTGGGGGGGGGGCTGGGCCGTCGCCGGATTGTTGTAGCTGCTGCTCCACCTGATGGGATGGAGAGGAAGGGTTCAGGGGAGGCAAACAATAAAGATTCCGGGCTTTGAGGGCAGCCGCACCACGGCTAGCACGAGGTCCTCCCGTGCTTGCATGCGCGGGTCCTGGAGGCCTGGGGGGGCTGGGCCGTCGCCGGATTGCTGGAGTTGCTGCTCCACCTGATGGGATGGAGAGGAAGGCTTGGGGAAGTTAGAAATTAAGAATCTACGGGCTGAGGGCAGCCGCACCTCGGCCAATAGAAGGTCCTTCCATGATTCCATTCCATGTGGGGGTCCTTGAGGCTTGGTTTTGGGTTCTGGGCCATTGCCGGATCGTTGGAGCTGCGGCTGCACTCGATGCAATGGAGAGGAAGGGTCTGGGAGGTTGAAGTCGAGAAATGAGGGTTTTGCCAGCAAAGGATTGGAAAGACACAAGACGAGCAACAAGTCATACAGAAAATGATGCTTAAGGAGCCTAAAACGACGAGCAACTCACCCAGGATACGATGGTCATGGGGCAGTTAGCCTCCTCATCATCTGTGCTTGAAAAGAGCCATTTCTCTGCAGTGGACTGCATTGCGCGGCCACACTTGTACCTGTTAGCAAAGAATAGGACCTGAACACGAGCAAATCACCCAGGATACGATGGTCACGGGGCAGCTGGTCTCCTGATCAGCACCGGACACCACTTTTCACCACCTAGATTCAGGTGCAACACTAGCAACTCACCCAGGATACGATGGTCACGGGGCAGCTGGTCTCCTGATCAGCACCGGACACCACTTTTCACCACCTAGATTCAGGTGCAACACTAGCAACTCACCCAGGATACGATGGTCACGGGGCAGTTGGCCTCTTCGTCGGCCCCAGGAGCTAGCGACTCTTGAATGGCTGCCCGCCCCGTCATTAGCTCCAGCATCACCACACCAAAGCTGCACATGCAGGTGCACAGATGAGAGTGCAAGCAAGTGGAAGCAAACCTTGAAGCGAGAAATCCGGATGGAAAACGTGAGTGGTGGACGGGTCAGGCCCTCTGCTGATTTTCTCCCAAATCAAGTGGCATCCCCCTTCACGTGTTCCATTTGTATCAGCTCACAACATGAAGTGAGCAATATTACTTTCAGACCAATCTCCTGACCGGAGTGTAATGCTGTTGGTCACCTGCAAGCCATTGCTCACCTGCAAGCCATTGCTCACCTGCAAGCCATTGCTCACCTGCAAGCCATTGCTCACCTGCAAGCCATTGCTCACCTGCAAGCCATTGCTCACCTGCAAGCCATTGCTCACCTGCAAGCCATTGCTCACCTGCAAGCCATTGCTCACCTGCAAGCCATTGCTCACCTGCAAGCCATTGCTCACCTGCAAGCCATTGCTCACCTGCAAGCCATTGCTCACCTGCAAGCCATTGCTCACCTGCAAGCCATTGCTCACCTGCAAGCCATTGCTCACCTGCAAGCCATTGCTCACCTGCAAGCCATTGCTCACCTGCAAGCCATTGCTCACCTGCAAGCCATTGCTCACCTGCAAGCCATTGCTCACCTGCAAGCCATTGCTCACCTGCAAGCCATTGCTCACCTGCAAGCCATTGCTCACCTGCAAGCCATTGCTCACCTGCAAGCCATTGCTCACCTGCAAGCCATTGCTCACCTGCAAGCCATTGCTCACCTGCAAGCCATTGCTCACCTGCAAGCCATTGCTCACCTGCAAGCCATTGCTCACCTGCAAGCCATTGCTCACCTGCAAGCCATTGCTCACCTGCAAGCCATTGCTCACCTGCAAGCCATTGCTCACCTGCAAGCCATTGCTCACCTGCAAGCCATTGCTCACCTGCAAGCCATTGCTCACCTGCAAGCCATTGCTCACCTGCAAGCCATTGCTCACCTGCAAGCCATTGCTCACCTGCAAGCCATTGCTCACCTGCAAGCCATTGCTCACCTGCAAGCCATTGCTCACCTGCAAGCCATTGCTCACCTGCAAGCCATTGCTCACCTGCAAGCCATTGCTCACCTGCAAGCCATTGCTCACCTGCAAGCCATTGCTCACCTGCAAGCCATTGCTCACCTGCAAGCCATTGCTCACCTGCAAGCCATTGCTCACCTGCAAGCCATTGCTCACCTGCAAGCCATTGCTCACCTGCAAGCCATTGCTCACCTGCAAGCCATTGCTCACCTGCAAGCCATTGCTCACCTGCAAGCCATTGCTCACCTGCAAGCCATTGCTCACCTGCAAGCCATTGCTCACCTGCAAGCCATTGCTCACCTGCAAGCCATTGCTCACCTGCAAGCCATTGCTCACCTGCAAGCCATTGCTCACCTGCAAGCCATTGCTCACCTGCAAGCCATTGCTCACCTGCAAGCCATTGCTCACCTGCAAGCCATTGCTCACCTGCAAGCCATTGCTCACCTGCAAGCCATTGCTCACCTGCAAGCCATTGCTCACCTGCAAGCCATTGCTCACCTGCAAGCCATTGCTCACCTGCAAGCCATTGCTCACCTGCAAGCCATTGCTCACCTGCAAGCCATTGCTCACCTGCAAGCCATTGCTCACCTGCAAGCCATTGCTCACCTGCAAGCCATTGCTCACCTGCAAGCCATTGCTCACCTGCAAGCCATTGCTCACCTGCAAGCCATTGCTCACCTGCAAGCCATTGCTCACCTGCAAGCCATTGCTCACCTGCAAGCCATTGCTCACCTGCAAGCCATTGCTCACCTGCAAGCCATTGCTCACCTGCAAGCCATTGCTCACCTGCAAGCCATTGCTCACCTGCAAGCCATTGCTCACCTGCAAGCCATTGCTCACCTGCAAGCCATTGCTCACCTGCAAGCCATTGCTCACCTGCAAGCCATTGCTCACCTGCAAGCCATTGCTCACCTGCAAGCCATTGCTCACCTGCAAGCCATTGCTCACCTGCAAGCCATTGCTCACCTGCAAGCCATTGCTCACCTGCAAGCCATTGCTCACTAGCCCAAAGTCTGATATCTTAGCCTGCACATGGCACACAGTGCATGCCAATGTATGGAAGAAGCATGCACATGGCATATTGATATATAAACATATTGACGCACACGAGATATCAAAATGTGAACAATGCACATGGCAAACAAGTTTTAATACATACCATCCACATCTCCTGTAGTTTGATGGTGCAACAACCTCATGGGACGATGTTGTCTAGCTAGATGTCGCAATATGCACGCACATACACACATACGCACGTGCGCACGCATACGCACGCACGCACGCACAGACGCACATTACACGCACACACACACACATAAAAGACACACACACACACACACACACACACACACACATGCGCACGCACGCACCCACACACACACACACACACACACACACACACATACACATACGCACGCACGCGCGCACACACACACACACACATACGCACGCACAAACATGCACATTTGCACGCACCCAACCACACACACACACTTGCGTGCATGCGAGCACGCAAACACCCACACGCGCACCTGCATGTTTCCATCCAGCAGAATGTTGGCGGGCTTGATATCGCGGTGCACGATGCCAAAGCTGTGCATGTACTCAAATCCCCGGGCAGCCCCTATCAGGATGTCCACGCGCTGCTGGAAGGTCAGCGGCGTGGGCGCGTCTGGAGGTTCATGTGATGAGGATGGGTGGGTAAGAGGGACGACACAAAAAAAAAAAGCAGGAAGCAGATAAATAGAAGTGTGCTCATATCTTTTATAAGACAAGGATAGCATCACTTTACAATGATGGAGATGGGCAGGTGAAAGGGAGGGGGATCAAGGAAACCATGGAGTAAATACATGTGTGTGGTCAAGTTTTGTTTGCGCAGAGATGAAAACACTTTCCCATCCACACCTCTTTCAATCCGCGCCCTTCCCAAACCAAACCTTTTTCAATCCACACCCTTTTCAAACCACACGCTTCCCAAACCATACCTTTCTCGATCCACACTTCTTGTTGTGGTGATGACCATGTTGGTGAGGCCAATGGCATGTTCATGAAAACATGATGCACGGCATGCTTTTGAGTCACTTAAAAACATCATGCACGGCATGCTTTTGGGTCAATCTAAAACATGATGCATACTACCCCCAAACCACACCTTCGCCCATCCAGTGCGAGAGCCCGTCGATGAGGTCCCCACGGGGCATGAGCTTGTACATGAGGACCTGCTCCACGAGGGTCTTATCCGCGATGCCTATGGCATGTTACGACCTGACTCAAGACACAACTTCTGATTTTTTGTAGAGAACACCTGTTGAATCCATTCACAACACCAATACGCACCTTTGCCCATCCAGTGCGAGAGGTCCCCGTTGGGCATGAGCTCGTAGATAAGCACCTGCTCCACGCGGGTCTTGTCCGTGATGCCTATGGCGAATCCCAGCAGCCGCACCAGGTTGGGGTGGTGCTTTGAGGCCATTTAGCACACCTGCCAAGCGGGGCAGCAGTGGAGGAAAGGTGCGGCACACACACAAACACACACGCTCTCATGATCCAACAGACCTTTAAGTCGACTCAAATTCGCCAGGTTGGGGTGGTCCTGCGAGGCCAGCTGGCACACCTGCCCTGCCAACGGGGGCAGCAGTGGAGGAACAGTAAAACACACATGCTCTCACAATATGTTGCCCGTCTCATCCTGCCTTGCCTCGTGAGCCACAGCACAAGGTCCCTGAGCACTGCTTCACACACCCACTCCCTACCCAGCACATTCGCCTACCACACTACACCACACCACGCATACCTCAGTATCAAAGTCGTTAGCAATGAGCTTGGCGCGCTTCACAGCCCACAAAGTGGTGCAATCAGTGGGAGACACAGCGCGGTACACATCCCCAAACGCACCCCGCCCAGCAGATTCACCTCAAAAGACTCCAAGCCACACCACTCCACACCGCACCACACCGCACCACACCATATCACACCACACCACGCATACCTCAGTGTCGAAGTCGTTAGTAATAAGCTTGGCGCGCTTCACAGCGCACAGGGTGGCGCCATCTGCGGGAGACACCGCACGGTACACGTCCCCAAACGCACCCCTGCCCAGCAGATTATCCTCGCTCCACCAGTTGGTGGCCCTCACCACCTGCTGCAGGGGATACTCAAGACATGCCTGCGCTGCTGCCGTGCTGCTCATTAACGCTGGTGAGAGAGGAAGGAGAAGGGGAGGAAGAAGGGGGGTTGAAGCACCAGGGGGCTAGTTTGGGTCTTTTGAGACGTCACAAAACCACACTTTTATCACGTGACTTGTTTGGGTCCCTGCCCAGAAGATTCGCCTTCGCCTCACCCGTCAGTTGCCCTCCCTACGCCTGCGATCTGCCTTGCTGCTCAGCAGTGCTGGTGAGAGAGCAAGCCGAAGCGGCGGCAAGAGGTGAAGAGCGAGGGAGAGGAGAAGGAGAGGTGAATAGTGGATATAGAGAGGCAGGTAGGGGATAGGGAGAGGCAGGTAGGGGATAGGGAGAGGCAATCAGTGGATAGGAAGAGGCAGGTGGGGGATAGGGTGACGCAGGTACTGACAAGGGAGAGGGAGCTACAAACAAGGGAGAGGGAGGTAGAGACAAGGGAGAGAGAGTTACAGACAAGGGAGAGACATGTGAAAGACAGTGTGAGGCGGGTAGTAGAGAAAAGGATGCAGGTGGAAGAGAGGGAGAGGGAGGTGGGGGAGAGGGAGACGGATTTGAAGAGAGGGAAAGGCAAGCGGAAGAGACTACGGAGCATGCAGGGGAGAGAAAGAGGGAGCTAGAGGAGTTAAGGTCAAAGCTGAAAGAGGCGGAATACAAGGCAGCTAATGCACTGGATATGGTAATGGCCCGTGATTTCATCATTGAGCAGCATATCAGAATCCAGGTCAAGTTGTGCAAGCAATACGACATATTGACTGCGGCAGTGAAGGCTACAAATGAGTCTACAGATTGAGTGCTGCTTGGCAGACGTATAGGGTAGCCTCATCTGTAGCCTCACCTGTAGCCTTCACCGCCGCAGCCAATACGTTGTATTGCTTGCACAACTTGACCTGAATTCTGATATGCTGCTTCATGATGAAATCACGGGCCATTACCATATCCAATGCATCAGCTGCCTTGTATTCCGCCTCTTTCAGCTTTGAACTTAACTCCTCTAGCTCTTTCCTCTCCTCTGCATGCTCCTTACTCTCTTCCACTTGCCTTTCCTTCTCTCCAATCTCCTTCTCCCTCTCCGCCGCCTCCCACTCCCTCTCTCCCACCTGCATCTTCTTCTTCACTACCCCCCTCGCTCTGTCTTCCACATGTCCCTTTCTTGTCTGTAACTCACTTTCCATTGTCTCTGCCTCCCTATCCCTTGTCTGAAGCTCCCTCTCCCTTGTCTGTACCTGCGTCACCCTATCCCCCACCTGCCTCTCCCTATCCACTGATTACGTCTCCCTTTCCCCCACCCGCCTCTCCTTCTCCTCTCCCTCGCTCTTCACCTCCTCTGCCCAGCAGGTTCGCCTCGCTCCACCTGTCAGTGGCCTTCGCCACGTGCTGCAGCGGGTACTCCTGACACGCCTGCATTGCTGCCCTGCTGCTTAACAGTGCTGGCGAGATGGAGATGAGAGAACAAGTGGAAGCGGATGATGTGATATGGAGCACCAGGGCGCTTGTGTGGGTCCCTGCCCAGAAGGTTCGCCTCGCTCCACCCATTGGTCGCCCTCACCACGTGCTGCTCAACAGTGCTGGCGAGAGACTGGCCTCTCTCCAACCCATTGGTGGCCTTCACCACCTGCTGCAGCGGGTACTCCTAACACGCCTGTGATGCTGCCTCGGTGCTCATTAACGCTCGTGAGAGAGGAAGGGGAAGGGGTGGCAAAAGGGGGGATGATTCGCCTCGTTCCACCCGTTAGTGGCCTTCACCACTGCAGAGGGTACTCCTGACACGCCTGCACTGCTGCTTTGCTGCTCATCAATGCTGATGTGGGGAGCGCGTGAGAGAGGAGTGAGCAAGGAACGCCCATCAGCGCTCATTCGACTATAATGGAGCACTGTGCCGCACTATTAGTTGTTGGAGAAGGGTGTGTGCAGCAGTGTGCGGTGTGTGCAGCAGTGTGCGGTGTGTGCAGCAGTGTGTGGTGTGTGCAGCAGTGTGGGCCGTGAGAAGCACCTATCTGTTGCCGTTTGTTGAAGCAGCAGCAATAGAGCAGAAGAGCCACGCCCAGGAGAACATGTTTGAGTGAACTTTTGAGAATTCTCAAAAGTAACATCAACGGACCTTTCTGTTGCCGCTTATTGAAGCACCAGCAGCAGTCGAGGATTAGAGCCAGGCCCAGGAGAGCAGCACAGGCGGCAACCACAGCCCCGACAATCACTCCCATGACACTCCTGCCTTCCTCCACTCTGGCTTTCCCTGGTTGCCTGTAGTGTGCTGTGCACTGCGCTCAATACCTTTCTCTTGCCGTTTGTTGAAGCAGCAGCAGCAGTGGAGAATTGAAGCCAGGCACAGGGCAGCAGCACAGGCGGCAACCACTGCCCCGACGATCACTCCCACAGACACTCCTGCCATGGTTGGCTGCAGGCGGTGCTGGCAACTGGGACTTGTCGCCTGCAAAGACACAACAGAACGTGCAAGCACATTAGCTCAGCTGGCAGGGGGCTTGCACCAGGCATCCAGCACAGTAGAGCAGCTTCTGCAGGCTGGAGTCACTGCCTGGCGTCACTGCCTGGGGTGACTCACATGTGGTGCAGAAGTCGGCGCAGGTGCGGCAGAAGCCAGCAGAAGGATTCTGGGCCACACCGCAGCTGCTGTAGCGGTCAGGGCACGCGAGAGAGGTGTTGCTGGTGGAACTGATGGGGGCACGGGGCAGGCAGGGTATGGGGACTCGTGAGGCGCCTAAAAGAAAAACGTTCTGAGGCACACCGCAGCTGCTGTAGCAGCCAGGGAATGCAAGGGAGGGATGCACATGCGCTCATTGCCTCACTATCAAGTCCCTTTCAAGCAGGAAGCTCATTGCCTGCTCCACCCCACTCCACTCCACTCCACTCCGCTCCATCCCACTCCACTCCACTCCACTCCGCTCCACCCCACTTCACTCCACTCCACTCCGCTCCCACTGGATATTCACAAACAGACGTGCTCACTGTCTCCTGACAAGTTACTCCCCTTCAAGCAGAAATCACGATTTTCATGTGGAACGATAACTGTGCAGCGTGCCGTATAGTGTGTGCTGTGTGCTTTGCGGTGTACAGTGTGCCGTGTAGTGTCCAGTTCCTACTAAACCCAGGCTTCCAAAGGAGGGGGGGATGGTTCCTTGCAGCTTGTTAAAGCCCACGTCTCTGTGCCGCATGGGAAGCAAGGGAGATCCAGAAGCTTGTTACTAAGGATCATGGAAAACCAGCTAAAATTGACAAGATCCGGATGCGTGTTTTGAGACATCTCAAAACAAGTTCCGGAAGCGTGTGTTGAGACGTCTCAAAACAAGCTTGTTGCTAAGGATCATGGAAAACGAGCTAAAATGTCTGTGTCACAAGGTTGGGAAGAAGGGAGGTGCGGAAGCTATGAGCTGTGGGGAAAGTGCTGTTGTCTCAAGGGCAGCACGGCAAAATTGTGGAGCCATGGGGATGGGGTGATGAAAGCACTGTGGTGAAAAACTGGGGGGAGATTGTGAGAGACAGGAGGACGATTCGGCTTTAGTTTCGCCAGTGGACGCAACTTGATGGCACGTGGGCGGGCATAGATGTATGTATGGTGGTGTGGTATGGGCAAGGTACATGAGACGAGTGTACAAATCTTCATCACAAGACGAAATAGGATCTGCAGCAGGATTAGTAACAGCAAGACAATGTAAATGAAATACTCTTATTGAGGTAGCAGCGGCAGCAGCATATGAGGGCCAGCATATGAGGGCCCAGCATATGAGGGCCAGCATATGAGGGCCAGCATATGAGGGCCAGGGAACAGCAGCAAAAGAGGCCGGAGCCCCTTTGCACATGGCGAAAGCGCCATGACGCAACACATGAGCAGTTAAAGTGACAGAGAGGGGTCAAAGGGACTCACAGGGTAACCAAGGAGGTAATGGCTGTGAGGGATTCAGGAAGAGGGCCACTGAGCTGGTTGTGAGAGAGGTCCCTGTAGTGAATGGAGTGCGGTGGGTGGGTGGCATGTGATGACTTTTGAGGCACCTCAGAAGCTGAGCTGGTTGTGAGAGAGGTCCCTGTGGTGATGAGGGCAAGGTGGAAGACATGTGCCTGGCATGACAGGGAGGCATGCACATAGCATGAAGGGCTTATGCAACCAGAGCCCGAGCAAGTGCAACAGCCGATAAAGAAGCAGCCAATTCTGCAGCTGCAGCAAAACCACCTAATCTCGAAGGCGTTCTGATTGACAATAATGACAAGATTTTTTCGACGATACACGTGTCGCCAAAGCAAAAACCTGGGAGGGAGCCTCCGACTTGGGTGGAGGGGAGCACGTGGTCTGATATAACTCGTGTGCTCCACACAAAAGAGCTGGCATGTCCTAGAACCATCACGTGGATGGTTTCGAGTGTGCTCCCCTCCATCAGTCTGAAGCTCTCTCCCAGGTTTCTACTTCGGTGACACGTACCATCGAAAAAATCTTGTCATTATTATCAATCAGAACGCCTTAGAGGTAAGGTGGTTCTGCTGCAGCTGCAGAATTGACTATTTTTTAGCGGCTGTTGCACTTGCTCGGGCTCTGGTTGCATGCATGACACATGCATGGTACATGTCCCAGCTGCTCCTCGGCAGCATGCCTCACAGCAAGAAAGCATCCTACAATATTCTACTCTGGAAAATAAGCCGCTGACACGTAAAGGCACGACCTCCAAGTGGGGTCCCTTCCCTTCAACGTGCATGGCAGGTGCAGTGCATGGCAGGTGGAGTGTATGGCAGGTGCGGTGCATGGCAGGTGTCCTGACTGCCCCCTACAAGGCATTTTCTACTCACAGGGATGTGAGGCTGGTGCACGGGAGCCCATCAGACTGCAAAGCGTTGGAGCTCAGATTCCTGCTACCGTGCGTGCTTCCTGATTCTGTGAATGTGCACACTCCATGCCTCCAACTCTCTCTAGTTTCTCGACTGCCCCTACCCTACTCACAGGGATGTGAGGCTGGTGAGATTGCTCAGGTCCCGAGCTGGTGAGCTTGCTCAGGTCGGACTGCAGAGCGTTGGAGCTCAGATTGCTGCCATGTGGGGGGTGGGAGGGAGAGTAGAAGGGTTAATGGAGGGGTGTGGGAGGGCACCAGGAGTGTGCATGCAAAGGGACGGAGAGAGCGTGCACTCACGTGGACGTGCATATGCACATGCACATGCACAAGCGCACGCAAGGAGCTATGCCCCGCTTGCTTGCGTGGCTTCTGCAATCGGCTTCAGAAAACAAACGATGGGGAATCGTACAGTTGCTGTAGTTTGGCGTAGTCCATTTCTTGAAGTGGCGACAGATCCGAGACGCCGTTAGACCGCAACTCGCTGGAGTGGAGAGTAGCGAGAAAGGCCAAGGCGGAGAATGAGGGGAAGAAAGCGCAGCAAGAGGGGCATTGAGAGGCAGTAGTAGCAGAGAAGGGAAGACGACCTCAGATGCAGGTGTGTGGAAGGGTCAAGGTGGGTGGAAGGGCCAAGGTGGGGCTGAGGTTGGGGGGCACACTGGCTTGTGTGGGGGGCACACTTGTGTGGGGGCAAGGGTCTGGGAAACAGCAGGTGTGCGAAGTGGGTGTGGAGAGTGCAAGAGAGGGCAGTGCATGTGGGGCATGAGTGTGGGTCCTGCATATGGCGCATCAGTGCGTGAGGGCCGTGCACATGAGGGCCGTGCACATGAGGGCCGTGCACATGAGGGCCATGCACATGAGGGCCGTGCACATGAGGGCCGTGCAAAAAATGCAATTGCGTACAGTCTGGTCAGCTGAGAGAGGTTGGCAATGCTAGTCTCAAATGCACACATTCAAACGCTGGAGAGAAAGCCCTCTGACACACTTGTTCCTACAGTCACGTGCATGCGTTGGCCAAACGTACAGTCTTGTCAGCTGCGCGAAGTTGGCTATGGTGGAAGGAAAGCTCTCTGCAACACCGCCCGGAACACACTCCACTGACCTGCAGAAGCACATGCACATGCACATGCACATGCAGAAGCACATGCACATGCACATGCACATGCACATGCACATGCAGAAGCACATGCACATGCACATGCACATGCAGAAGCACATGCACATGCACATGCACATGCATGGAGTAAACCGAATGCATGACTACTTTTGATGCACGCGAACATACTAATCCTTCCTTCATAGAGAACGAGGAGCACACTCCGCAAGGAAAGCACGGTATATGCACGCTTTAAGGACAATGTTACTCAGATTATCATACAGAATAAATAAAAACATCAGAAATAGCAAAAACAAAACCGACAAGCGTTTAACTTGGGCTCAATCTGGTTGCCCCTACTCGCTGTATGAGTCAACTAAAAAATGCCCAACTCACAGAGACTTGAGCCATGTGATGCTGTAGAGTGGGTTGTCTGGAAAATAGATAGCGCTGCTGAAGCTCCTGCATTGTGGAAAGCATTTCTGAGGTTAGGATGGATAAAGTCACACAGAAGGCCAGAGGAGAGGGCACAATGCAAGCCAAGCACAACGCACGCTGCGAACTTCCATTCATGAATGCGGCTGCGGTGGTTGGTGGGTGGTGGTGTGGGTGGAAAAGGCGTGGGCTTTGAAGCGGCACAAGAACAGGCGCACATAAGCACGCCGCTCGCAGGGGCCCTGTCCGAGCCCTCCCTGGGGACTCTCGCACGCGCGCTAGTTTATCACGCACGCAATCATGCACACACGCGCACGCACGCACACACACCCATGCATGCACACACGCGCACGCATGCACACACACCCATGCATGCACACATGCATACATGCACACACGCGCACGCATGCACACACGTGCATGCACTCTCTCTCTCACACACACACACACACACACACACACTCACACGCACGCACGCACGCGCACACACACACACACTCACGTTCACACACACACACACAAAAACACACACGAACATGCACACAGACACACACACGCACACGCACGCACACACACACACACACACACACACACACATAGGCATGCACTCACGCACAAACACACTCTCGCGCGCGCGCACGCACACGCACACGCACATACAGCTTTGTGAGGCAGTGAAGGCGCGTGACACTATCCGTGGGGAAGGACGGCCCCATGAGCGTGAAGAATTGCCTGAGGGGGGAAAAGGAGGGGATGGAACAAGGAGGAGTTTGAGTAGACTCGGAAAGCATCTGAACGGACGGCCTTATAAGCGTGAAGAATCGCCTCAAGGGGAAGGCGGTGGGGGTGGAAGAAGAAGGAAGAGCTGTTTGTATTGATTCCGAAAACACTTGGAAGGACGGTTTCATAAGCGTGGAGATAGCTTGGGGGTAAAAACGGTGGGTGGAACATTGGCAGTTTGTTGTGCCGAGGCACCCTGGACTGAAGAGCCCTCAAGGGCACTTCAGATGTGCTTTCAGATTCGATTTTCAGAAGGACAGCACAGCGCATCGCAACGCACAGGAAGAACCAAAAAGGCAGCACAACAGAGAGAAGCAAGGTGCTGCAGACATACACGGAGGTGATGCTGCCAGCCCGCAGTCCCCTCCAGGCAACCAGCCTGCAAATGTTAAGTTCCACGCCTTCTGCAGATCCTGCAGCACCGCACCTGGGCAACGGGACGGGCCAATCACAGCAGCACAGCACATGCGGTGGCCACGCATGTGGAGAATTCTGTATTGTTGAAGATGTGGACGTTGAGCAATCTGGTCGTGAAGCTGTGATTCAGTGGTGAGTGGTGAGTGGTGGAGAGACCTGCCCAGAGTAGATAGTTTCGCTTGGAAGGAGTAAGCAGAGTGGGAAGAAGAGTGGGAAGCAGAGAGGGAAGCAGAGTGGGAAGCATAGAGGGAAGAAGGGAGGGAAGCCGTGTGGCATCATGTCGAAGCAAAGCAGGCAGAGAGGGAAGCAGACGAAAATACCAGATGAAGGGAGGCCTTGACGGCTGTTGGTGGCTGTTGAGGTTTGTGTGAGTGCTGGTAGCTCGATGAGCACGCACGCGCACACGAGCACGCGCACGCGCACGAGCATGAGCACGCGCACGAGCACGCGCACGCGCACGAGCATGAGCACGCGCACGAGCACGCGCACGCGCACGAGCATGAGCACGCGCACGAGCACGCGCACTAGCACGAGCATGAGCACGCGCACGAGCACGCGCACGCGCACGAGCACGCGCACGCGCACGAGCATGAGCACGCGCACGAGCACGCGCACTAGCACGAGCATGAGCACGCGCACGAGCACGCGCACTAGCACGAGCATGAGCACGCGCACGAGCACGCGCACTAGCACGAGCATGAGCACACGCACGAGCACGCGCACTAGCACGAGCATGAGCACGCGCACGAGCACGCGCACTAGCACGAGCATGAGCACGCGCGCACGCGCACTAGCACGAGCATGAGCACGAGCACGAGCACGCGCACGAGCACGAGCACGCGCACGAGCACGAGCACGAGCACGAGCACGAGCACGAGCACGCGCACGAGCACGAGCACGCGCACGAGCACGAGCACGAGCACGAGCACGAGCACGAGCACGAGCACGAGCACGAGCACGAGCACGAGCACGAGCACGAGCACGCGCACGAGCATCACAGCGTTGTTTTTGGGAAGCGTGTCGCGTGGCAGGCAGGGCAACGCGGCAGCATACCACGAGTTGCGCGAGTCTTAGTAGCAGGAATGATTTCACCTGAGCTGCGGTCGATCAATTCAGCGACCCCATACTTTGTGACTTCCTAGTCGACTCACAAGTCACTCCATGATACGTTCATCCGTACCATCGGATTCCGAGATGATCTGCGCGACGGCCGCCCGCGGCGCGGCGCGAGGCATGCGAGCAGCGCGACGACGAATGCGAGCACGGAGCGACCGCCGCCACGACCGTCGAGGCCTTTAAGCATGATCGTGCGCGCCGCGCCGCCGTGCCAGCTCCGCTCAGTCCACGAGGCAGCGACTCGCTGGTCTGCGGTACCCCTGGCCTTGGCGGCGTTACTATCAGTGGGTCTGTCGCATCGACAGACGGTCGCGGCTCGGAGTCTCTCGGAGCGAACACGGTATTTGTGAGGCTTCTAGTAACCATGAGCGGAGCGGAGTTTACTCTCAGAGTCTGTCCGTACAGCCACGCAGCTGAACGAGTTGCGCGGCGGCTGACGATAAGTAGTATCGACGGCGAGGCGATGAAATGTCTGATGGCGTTCACAGGGGCCATGTTCGGCTGGCGCATCAGACCGCACCAGGATGTCGCGACACGCACCAGGAGTTTGATGGCCGTTCTGACACGCGAAACGCGATCTCTGTATGGGATGGTATGGACAATAGAGACATATTTTGAAGTGCTTCGTTTCTGTTTCTGTTCTCAGGTAAAGGTGTACCCTTTCTTTTTCACACAGCACACTCCATGAATGAGATTGGGTTGCTGGTTGCAACCCTTTCACTTGCTTGCAGGTAATGTCATGTGCGTCCCACGTTACCATCATTTTATGTCTAGTATAACTGCTGTAACATAGAGTTATACCATGAGCGAACACACATTCGAGCCCCAACATCGTAGTCCCACAACCCTTGCTTCACCTGCCTCCGTATTTTCTTCCTCCTCCCAGCCACCCAATTGTTATGGATTATCACACAACCCATCTCTTCACACCCTTTCCGAACGCTATTCCCCATATGGAACAGCATCTGCGTCGCACCATTAGGGAACCTCTTTCTATCGAGAAAATCCACAGTAAGGTTGAACTTCGGATTTAAGCACTGGGAATCGCCCACAGTGTACTCAGAAGAAGCTCCACACAGCACATCATAGAAACTCGGCTGCTCTGTTATTGGTGATGCTGCTGCATGCGCCACCACCGCCTCGAGAGCCGCCAATGCCTTCGGCTCCGAGCGAATGAAATAAAACCCCGAGTTGAGCCGCCGATAGTCATTATCCGGGCCCGTGTCATTGTGATTGTCGCTCTGAACCACCATATGCCCTGGCCCATACCCCATCACTATCGGTCGCGCGTCCGCGAACCAATAGATATCCGCGTCGTTGAACAGCACGTGGTAACCAGCCCGTAACACGCGGAGGGCTGCCCGAGACTTCACTTTAGTCACATTGAGGAAGCAGTCCGTGCCGAAGTGGCAGTCGTCACGGCCGAACGCGTCGTCGTACGCGTGGGGGAACACCGGGAGGCCCTGCTCGCGGGCAAAGTCGTAAGTTTCCCTGTCCATGGCGGCTATAACGTAGTTGTGCACGTGCAGGCGGCGCAGCCCGCACACCCAGCTCATCATCACCTCCCTGTAGTTTGATGCTACCACCGCCAGCACCGCCGTCCGCGCTTCGTCCCCCTCCACTGCACCTGCCACCTCGACCCCTGCTGGCCCCCCTGTCCCTTCTGTCCCTTCTCTCCCTTTTGCCCCTTCTCTCCCTTTTGCCCCTTCTCTTCCTTCTGCTTCAGACTTCCGCCTACGGCTGCCTCTCCTTCCTGCTGCAGCCACCTCTCCGCCCAATCCGCCATCCTCTTGCATGCCGCTCCCCCTCGCCCTCTCCCTGCCTTCCCCTCTCTTCATGCCCGTCCCTCTCCCCACCACCTGTCGCAGCACCCGCAGCATCACCTCATCATGCTCCACTCTCTCAAACACAAGCGGCCCCACCTCTGCCCCTCCATCCGCCCCTCCACCCGCCCCTCCAGTCTCGTTCCTACCTCCGCCCGCCCCTCCTCTCTCACCCCCATCCCCTCCCCCTCCACCCACACCCTCCTCGCCTTCCCCCCCAAACTCCACCTCCTTCCTCTTAGCTTCCCGCCTCCGCCTCAACCCACCCCCCTCTTGCCTCCACGCTGCAGCTGCCTGCAACAGCCCCTCCTTCTCAACCCGCCCAATGCACCTCCACCCCTCCCCCCCATCACCCCTCCCGCCCTCATCCCACCCCCTGCTTCCTCCTTCTGGCACCACCATCCCCCGAAGCTGCTGCTTGTCTCGTGGCTGGAAGCAGAACCCAGCAGCGCCAGGGTGGGCACACGGGACGAGGGCCCACAGCACATCTCCAAGTGACACGCGCGGCCCACCGCTCACTCTCTGCTGCTGCCTCTCTTGCAGCAGTTGCTGCTGTGCAGCGCTGCTGCTGTCCTTGGTGGAACCGTGCTTGTTGTGTGAGTGACTGTTGGCGGGAGGAACAGAGGAGAGTGAGAGGGGAAAGGAACCGTAGGAGAGAGCCAAGTAGGCATTCAGCTCTTCCTCTCCTTCCTCCTCACCCACTCCGACACCTCCCTCCTCCTCTCCCTTCCCCTCTCGCTCTCCCTCCTCCCCTTCCTCCCCTCCTCCCCCTTTCTCCTCTCCTTCCCAGTCGCCTATACCCTCCTCCGCTACAGCAGCAGCCCCTTCGGGTGGCAGCAGCAGCACGGGCTTCAGCGCGGAGGCATCGAGCACGAGGCGGAGCGGAGAGGAGAGGCATTCGTGCAGCACCCACTGCTGCCACACGCCGCGAACTGAGGATAGTGTGCCGTGGTGAAGGCTAGGTGTGTGGTAACCAGGTAACCCCTGGCCTGTAGACTCGTTCCTTGGAGCTTGAGAGCCGGCCATTGGATCTAGCATTTCCTTTTGCTGCCCCTCCTCACGACCGCCCTTGCCCTCTCGCCCTCTGTGCCCTTCCTTCCCCCTTGACCCCTCGCCCTCTCCCCCACTTCCTCCCCTCTCTGTGTGTGGCTGCAGCAGGCGGAAGGGAGGCATGGGGCCAGAGAGGAGGGGGGTGTGACCTACATTCCAGGCCCATAGGATGGGGGGAGAGCAGGGCGAGTGGGAGAGCAAGGAGGATGACTGGAGATGACTCAGCGCCTCATCCATACTCAGCTGACGTGTCACTCCTGTTACACTGGTTACCACCCATGCATACTCCTCCTCACTGATACCCTTCTTCTCTGCACTATTCTCTTCCCTCCCCGCCACCCTACCCGGCCCAACCCTCCTCCACTCAACCGAACCAACTCCCGAGCCTCGTGCCGAGCCTCCTACTTCAACCTTCCACGCGCCTGCCACCAGTAGCCAGTCTCCCTGCACGTCCCGTGTCTTCTCCAAAGCTACACTCAGGCTCGACATAAGCACAGCCTTGGGGTCGGTTAGGACAATCGCCAAGCCTGCACGGGAGGCTCGGGCGCGGGCAAAGAGGCTGTTGGCTAAGGGTCGGCCTGAGGCGAAGCTAGGGAGGGCGCAGATGGGAGGAGGGGGAAGGGATGGGGCGTGGGGAAGGGATTGTGAAAGCGGGTGAGGGAATGAGGAAGAGGGGGAGGAGAATGGATGAGGGCGGATGGGGTTTAAAGACCACGGGCTCAATCCAAGAGACTGTTTGAAAAGCATGACAATTCTCCCCATGCCTTCTATCCCCTACCTCGTATCCACCTCCTCCTCCACCACAACCCGCCTGTTGTATCTCTAGGCGACGCGGGTCAGGCTGGGATGGGACCCCCTCAGCACCACTCACACGTCGGGCTGCAGACGCACCCACAACCAACAGGGATTTGAGCCCACTCGCCCCCACATGCCCATGCACCCCTCCCCATGCACCCCCCCATGCACCGGTGCCCCCCATGCGACCCTCCCCGCACGCCATGCTCCTCATGCCTTCCCCCCTACCTCGTGTCGACATCCTCCTCCACCACCACTCGTCCCGGATATCTCGCGGCGACGCGGTGGAAGGTGGGATGGGACCCCACCAGCACCACGCGCACGCCGGGCTGCAGCCGCACCCACGACGCCAACGCTGCCAGCTGCCGCCTCCCCCGCCGCCCCGCGAACGGCCGCGGCGCCACGAACAGCTCCGCGAAAACGGCGGGAGAGGTTACCCGTTCGCCAGTGGAGGCTCGGCGATATGGTTGATTTTGGTGGTCGGCCATTCGTGTGCTGGTGAACGGGGGGGTGTCTGATTGGTTGCGACGATACCACGGATCGCAAGGCGACTGGCCGCGTCGCACAGGCGAGTCAACGCGGTCAATAAAGTCGTTTGAGTCAGATTCACTCCAGCCTTCGTCGTCGCCCCGCACGTGACATTGTGCTTTCTCGAGCTGCCACGTGGCACTAAGCGACAGGAGCGTCAACCCGAGGGCCAGGATCCAGAGAAGCGGCAAGCAGGGAAGCAGAGGAACGTCAGAGGAGAAGGATTTGAAGCATGCAGTCCGACGGAGAGGGGCTTCGGGGTTGGATGGCTGACGTGGAAGGGCCTCCGGATTGGTGGGCTGACGTGGAGGGAAGACGAGCGAGGAGGTGTCACCGGAGTAAGTACTTAATGAGGAGGTTAAGGAGAGAGCATTCGCCGATAAACTCTTAACGGAGGAGTCGCTAGCGAGTGGTTCGCTCAGAGTGATGCCGATGGCTGGTGAGTCGTAAGGAGGGGTGATAGATTGAGAGGAAGCGCTCCGGCGGGATAACGATCGGTGAATGTCCCCTTTTTGAAGCATGGTGAGTCGTCTCGAAGCGACTCTAAGGCTCATAACTATCTCAAGAGACTCAGTGTCAATGACGGACGTCAGTTATCCATGATTGGAATTCAGTAGCTAGCAGTTGGATGGCACAAATACCAAGGGCGGAGCGGATCCCCCGAAAAATCTCTCACCCACACCGTGGTCCTGTTCTGTTGGCGCATTAGCGGTGCTCAGCCCTAACGATAAACATTCTCGGAAAGCGCATAACAAGGCTTAAAGCCCACGTCGAGCCTCCCGATTCGTTATTATCTCCCGAACCTCTGGTGCGGGAGTTGTGCGCGCATTGCTCATGCGTGCACAAGAACACTGTACTCTCAGTGCGCTGAGAAAATTCCACGAGCTTGGTTCCACAGGGAAATTTCCCGCATGGCCTATGCGAGCCCTATGCGCTCGTGGAGGGGGGATTGAAGAGGCGCACAACCAGTAACGGGCAGATCCAAACGCCCGTTTTGGGGTATTTGTTCGGTGGAATACTCCACCCAAAAACAATCCAACGGCGAGCCAGTAAGACTGACACATCCAGAGCATCAATTCGCGAAATTTTGACTTTGAAAGTGTGCCAGGGCAGTGTGTGGAGACAAATGTTTGGGCACACGGGAAAAAAAGGTTCTTAGTTTTGACGATTAGTAAACCCTTCGGCGAGGCTGCAGGCCCTTTCCTCTTTCGAGGAAAACGCTGCCCGCAGTACCTGTGCGGCACTTGCGAATGGCCTGTGCGCCAACAGAACAGGGCCCGTGGTGCGAACAGACTGCAATTGCTGGGATTGTGTAAGGAAAATTCATTTTCCTTACTTCGCGCCCCTGCTCAACGCGTACACCACTGTAGCACCACAGTCAGCACCGTTACCACTCGCAACACTCGCATCGACAATCCTCCCGCCACCTTCGCACATCGCATCCCGACCTCACGGCTCGGCGGGTAACCCGCGCTCTGGCCTCCGCCTCGACATTTCCCAACCACAGTCCCAACCTCAGTTCCAGGCCCGTCGCGCGTCAATCACAGTTCGTTACCATTACCACAGTAGCTTTCGCTATATATTCTTCGCTCATGCCTTCGCTCATTGTACTTTTGCTTCGATAGTGCAATTCTCGTTCGCTCACTCAATTGCACTCGTAACACTTGGTATTCAGAGCCTACGATCTCCTCTCGGACCGCACCCACACCTTCGCTTCCCCACTATCTCAATTTTTTGGAGGGGGTAGACGTCTCTCAGTGACACAGCACCACCGCTCGTAGTGCTCTCTCGTAAGCACGCACGGCCACGACAGAGGCTCTCACTGAGCTTGCCCGACACCCCCGCCATGGCCGAATTCACTCTCGCGACACTGACGCAGGAGCAACTCGACTGTCTCGTGCGCTAAGTCGAAGAATCGGCGCTCGAAATTGCGACACTCGCGGCGGAACGTGACTCCGCGCGCCAGCAATCCACGGTGAATACTACGGCGCCACCACACGCACCTGCAAATGCACCTGCACAATCGGAGGAGCCGATCATCATTTCATCAGGCACACCGACACAGAATGACAGCGTGGGACAGCGCTCAGGCGCAGCCAGTGATGGCGCCGCCCACTCAATGCCTGTCATGGAGAGAAACAGGGTCGCACCAAGCCCACGGGAGCCTCGTGAAGCCCGTCGGCACGTGGAATTCGCGGCGACAAGTGGCGACCACGCCATCATGGCGCCAATGCCGCTCAAGTCGCAGCGCCCGCCCTGCTTCGACCCGAGCCAGCGTGGAGGTCCGAGGGTTCAATCGTGGGTCTTCACGATGAACGTTTTCTTCGACGCGAATTACGTCAAGTCGGACGCAGCGAAGATCAGATACTCCGTCTCGCTGCTGAGGGGCCCCACCATGGACTGGTGGCGAGTCATCGTGACGTTGCCACGCGCCTACGAGCCACCGTCGCAAGAGGAAGGGACCGCGGGTCCAGCCGTCACCTGGAGTTCATTCTGCGAAACCGCCCAGTATAGCACGTGGGATGCGTGGTGCGCAGGGCTTCGGGCGCGCTTCGAGCCGATCGCGGCTTCTATTTCGGCGCGTCAGAAAACTGCGTACTTGGCGGCAGCTCGGGTCAATTCAAGACTACATGAGCGGTTTTCTCGCATAATGCGAGCAAGTCGGCTACATGCACGAAGCTATTGCTTCTTGAACTTGTGCTCAGAATGTGTGGTGACATTGTGATCCACCCTGAGCTTGTACTGCTTTACTTGCTCTGCTGATTACACCCCACTTTGGCTATGGGGGTGTGTCAGAATATTATGCTCTAGCCTGTAGTGGGGTGCTCTATAGCGAGTACAACCCTTCTAGGGTTTGCTATTTGTATCCTCATTCTTGCTAGTGCAACCCCTCTTCTTCCTTTTAAACTTTCACAGGGAAAATACAGGGAGCACCAGTGAAGTATTTTATCGACGGAGGAGCAAGTCACAGTTTAGTGAATACCGCAACCGCACGAAAACTGCAACTGGCACTTAGACAGTGCTTACCGGAAATAGACGCACGCTTATTTGACGGGACGCCGCTGGCCATACGGGAGAAGGTGGAGAGAGTAAAAGTCTGTTGCGGGGGGAACTTCGGGTTTACACAGGAAATGCTCGCGACGACATTGGATGGGCACGACATTTTACTGGGACGTGATTGGTTGCGACGGTATAACCCGCGAATTGACTAGACGACAGGTAGCTGCACTGTGCGAAGTAGCGGTAACTGGGTCGAACTACCTCGCTGGCAGTCACCTGAGTCTTCAACGGTACACGTCAACGCCGTCACCATGAAACGGGCTGTCGCCGCTGGAGCTGACGTGTACGTAGTAGACATTGCAGTGGTAGAAGAAGCAGATCAGCCGAGTGATTTCAAGAAACTGCTGGCAGCAGTACCGCCCGAACAACAGGAACTGTTGAAACGATACCCAGGGATTTTTCCCGAAGACTTACCGGAGGGACTGCCACCTCAGCGAGCACACGACCACCGAATAGAATTAGAACTGGGGGCACAGCCATGTGAAATAATGAGGAAAAATTATTGAACTAGGAAAATTGTGATACAAATATGAAACCCTAGAAACTTGTACCCCTTAGTGTCTACCCCACTAGAGCTTACAAACACTATGTCATATATATCTGACACACCCCCATAGGCAAAGTGGGGGAGAACTAGGGGTCACAAGACCAGTAAAGCAAAGCAAGCTCAGGGTGGATCACAACGTCACCACACATTCCGAGCACCAGTTCAAGGCCACAAGGCCAGTTCACATGCAGAATTATATATAAAGGTAAACAAGCAAGTGCAGGTATAGATAAATCACAGTACAAGCAAGGTCAAGAAGTGAGCAAGTGAGGCCAAGTAGGCACAAGACCTAGCATAGTACAAAAGCGATGATGATCACAAGGCTGAAGTGCCTTGGTAAAGATATCAGCAGTGTTGGCCCGAGAGGCCACGTAAGCAAGTCGCAGCTGACCACGCTGCTGCAACTCTCGAGCAAGGAAGTAGCGGAGAGCAATGTGCTTCGTTCTGTGCTCCAGTCTGTGCTCCTGACACAAGGCCAGCATGGCCTTGTTGTCTACGTACAGAACTGGAGGAGAACGAGGCGGCTCTCCTAGGTCAGTCAGCAGGTAGGTGAGCCAGCGTAACTCCTGTGCAGCCCTGGCCCCTACGTAGATCTCAGCCTCATAGCTGGAGCCGAGAACAGAAGACGAGCGGGTAGACCGCCACGAAACAGAGCCGGAACCAAGGCTGAAGGTGTAACCCTGTGACGACCGCTGCGTAGCCTGGTCGTCAGCCCAAGAAGCGTCTGCGTGACCAGTGAGGACCACTGGACTTCGCCCTCCAAGCACGAGCCCCATGCCCAACGTACTGCACAAGTAGCGCAACACCCTCTTCGCTGCAGCCATGTGCTCTGGTCGGTGTTTCCCAGGAGCAACATAGCGTGCCAAGATGCTAAGAGGGTATGCAAGGTCAGGTTGAGTGCAGGTCATCAGGTACATGAGGCAGCCAACAAGCTCTGGGTACGGGCCACTCGGCTCTACGGACTCATCCGAAGGCTGAGCTGAGAGCGAGTGGCGAGTAGACAGAGGAGTGGCCTGAGGCGAGGAGTACGTGAAGTCGAAGCGCTGAAGGACCTGCTGCACCATGTGTGACTGAGTCAGGGTAATGGTGCACCGTGCTCTGTCCCGGGTGATCTGCAAGCCAAGGTAGCTACGCAGTTCACCCAGGTCTGTGCACGTGTGTCTCTTCTGTAGCTCGGACTTCACGTGGGCGAGTCCAGCAGTGTCAGCAGTAGCAAAGACCAAGTCGTCGACATACACGAGGATGTAGAACGGCGGCAAAGAAGTGTCGGTGCGTAGAAACAGCGACGGGTCGGCAGTAGAAGGAGCAATCCCAAGAGCCGCAAGTGTAGTCCTCAGTGTGTCGTGCCACTCA